AGCCCGACAATGACGCGACATTGAACTTCGCAATGCACGTTAGAAACGATGTCCGTTTACGTTGCGAGGATTTCTCGTGGGACTGATGAATGAATGGTGGATGAGTGTATCGCTTCTAATTGCGCCTCAAGGATTGATAATAAGTTGTCGACCGTTTACTCGGCTAATGGAACATCACTCTCGACACCTTTTAACGCGCTTACCGCGCAACTGGAATAGTCGATCGCATACATAGTAGGTTGTCCGAAAAGTTTCTTTCGTTTTATTAATAAGTAATAAGCACACAATATTTGATGTCTAACGTTACATTATTGAATCGTGTACGATTCATTTTGCTCCATTACTGTTACAACATCAACGTCTAAGAAATTAGATCGCCTATTTCTATAAACACTACCGCGCGAAATAATTGAGTGGAAATTACGAAAGAAACTTTCGGGACAACCTAGTATATTATTAAATTAGAATTAAAACACTCGAATTTTTTATTAAGGTCATCCACCATTTTTTCGTTCTATTTTCATTCAAGATAGTCTATCAACGGTCCTCGCTATAACATTTTTCTATTTTTATAACAGGAAATATATTCGTACTCCGATTAAAAAATTAGATATCGTACGTTTCGTGCAGGGAAATATAATAAATAGACCGCGGATCTTTATGCGATATAAAATCTTTGCAAACGAATCTACGTAAATTGTACCTAAACAGCAATTTATTTTATTCTCCAAATATTATAATGTCAACTTTACTTTCGATATTTTTTTTTTTTTTATATTATTCCATACTGCGCGCATTTTGTAGGTTCTTGCGTATTCAAATTTCGTTTAAATGCATAAAAATCCGTAGTCTAATAATAAGAGATAATATATTTACACTTATAGTTAGAAGTACAATCATGTAGTAATTATCTAATCACATATTACAGACGGTGTCACGTATAGTAATTATTGATCACGTATCTAGATATCGTTATTCCTTAACACGTTGATCGCCACGTCACCCATATGTGTGTGACAGTGGTTTTCACTGAAGAACTAACAAAAATTAATTCTGAAAGTTAAGCTTCGAAGAGAATGAATTTAAACGAAATTCGTGTATTTTGATGAAGTTACAAAAATAGATACCACGTCGGATGTTTGATTATGTAGTCTCTAATAGTCTGAATAATATTTGATTATAGCAGAAATTTTCGAGAATATTTCTCTGGCAGTCGACGCGTTAATATTCCGATGCTATCATCAATTAGTATTAGGTTGTCCCAAAAGTTTCTTCCGTTCCCTTAAGTAGTAATGCATACGCAACATTTTATGTATAATGTTACATTATTGAATTCGTTTCGTTCTATTACGGTTATGACATTAACATCTAAGAAATTAGGTTGTCTAATTGTATAAACACTGCCACACTGCCACCACTGCCAAAATAACGGAATGCAAGTTATGGAAGAAACTTTTAGGACAACCTAATATAAGTATAAATATATTGTATCGATTACGAAACAGATGTTCGAGTAACGATATTTAAATATCCACCATAACGATGCACTAATGATACTCAAATATTCTGTTTAGCATTCAATTAATATCCCGATCAATATTCATCGTACAAACGTCCCGTAGTAATTTCTCACCGATCTCCCTCGAAAACGTAAAAGTTCATTAGGTCGCGAAAGTAAGAGTTCATTAATTCAACGTGTCCCCGCTTGACCTGAAGGACTTCTTCAGAAATTATACGAGGCTGAATATAATATTTACCAACGGTACGTTGTTTGTTCGTTTCTCCTTGCGTTATACCGTCCTCGTGGTCTAAAATTACAGACCCATAATCGCCGGCTGGAAATCACGATTATTTTACTTCCTTTACACGAAAGCGAACGGATCATTTGGCTTCTATTTTTTACTTTTGAGAAAGGTGCAAAACGTTGTTTTTAATTAATATTATCGGCTCTTTACAGGTGACACAATGTCTAATTTTTTAATTGAAGTATAAATAGAATCTTCCTTTTCTGAAGAGATATTTCACTTCCTTGACAAGAAAGAAACAGCCCATTCGGTTTCTATTATTTTTAAATATACGAAACATACAATATCTGATTTTTTAATCGAAGTACAGATATTATCTTCCCTCGGAGAAACAATTCATGTCTCTAATAAATAAATAATATAATATCTAATATCCTCCCTTTAATTTCGAACCAAAATTGGTTCCATAGGGTTCCTCAACCCTTCAACCTATAACAACGTGCGTCTCGTACAGAATTTGAGTCGAAGATGAAAAGAACACGAGTCGGGCACGTCGCGAAGAATTTTATGCTTGATTATGGCACGCAAGATCCTACAGTAAATCATAGGTCAAAGGGTTAAGAACCGCCAATGGCTCCCAACAGCATTTTCTTCCCTCGAACCTCGAATTACAGTTGACCTGCAGAAAGAAAAAAGCATCGATTCCTTCCGGACCTCCCCAAAAAAGAAAAATTGGTCGAGCCATGACGAGCGCGATGGAAAAAGGGATTCAATTCCGCATAGAATTTTCCTGAAACTCTTGGCTTTCACTTCTCTCCGAAGAATGCGAAGGCTGAGCGCCCGACAGACCCGTACCAACTGCCCCCTTCACCAGCTGCAATACGTTTAGAAAATTTTTAAGAACCTCCGCCGTTCCCGCGTGACGTCTCCCCCCCCCCCCCGCCCCCCTCTCTCTCTTCAAGTCGCGGAGACGAGTAAATACAGGGTGTCCCAAAAATGTTGTAACACCTTGAAACGAGCGGTCCGGGAGGTGATTTGAAACAACTTTTTCCTTAGCGAAAATATTGTCCGAGGCTTCGTTGAGGAGATATTAACGAAAAACACTGACCAATCAGAGCACGCGGATACCGTTGGAGCGGCCACGGTAGCGAAGGCTACGAGCTAAGCGGCCGCGTCAATGTCCTTCAATGCACGTCCAGTCACTTGTTCGCGTACAAGCGCGGCCGCTTAGCTCGTAGCCTTCGCTACCACGGCCGCTCCAACGGTATACGCGCGCTCTGATTGGTCGGGGTTTTCCGTTAATATCTCCTCAACGAAGCCTCGGACAATATTTTCGCTAAAGAAAAAGTTGTTTCGAATCACCTCCCGAACCACCCCTTTCAAAGTGTTACAATTACATGTTACATTTTTGGGACACCCTGTATAATACCTTCTCCAAATGACGAATTATAATTGGCTGTAACATTCCATTCCCTCGAATTCAGGTGATTCAGAGTTACTCCAAAAAAAAGAAAAAAGAAAGAATAATGAATGATTCTGTTGAAAGAGAATATATTCAGCTTCGTCTTTGCAAATTTGATTTTAGACGAAGAGATAAGAAGTCGAGAGTCAATGATAATTCTCTCCACTCGACCTTTCTCAATTTTTATATTCAAACTTGTTGTGGATCGGGATAGGTATTTGACGTTTTCTATGAATAAGCAATAGCCATTGTTTATGTAGTATAATTATTATTAGAATATTATAAGGTTATAAATATATGTATTACATGAAACATTATTCGACTGTGTGCCAATATGTATATGTCGTCGTTCTTTTTACACGCCACGCATTCGCATTTCTCTTGTTTATTCGCATATCGCCCCACACGTGTAGTATCATTTCTATCGGTAAGGTAAATTCCTACAAAACTTTTAATATTCTTCCTTGGAAGTAACGTCTAAATAAAACCGTTCCTTTAGATAATTAGATAAGCGATCGGTGTATGGTGCCATTGTGCGTGCTTTCACCGTCATTAATAATTTCACTAAGTTCACCGAAGCCTGTTCCGTTCTTATAACGATAAACAGCAGTCGTTGGACCGTGTCGGTTTCGTTCGTTCGCCTCGATACATTTTCTACAGAAAAATATAGGTCGAGCTGTAAAGTTTACGAGTTCTCCGTGGCACTAATCCAGATTAACGCGCAATAAATTACGTGAAAATTGTTTTCAGCCGTTATATCAGGCGTGGAAATTAATTATGTTCATCTGTGTTTAATAATTCATAACTCTGATTTAGACTTGCTCGTTATTTTGGTACAATGAAGCGTGAAACTGAGCTTCAACCTGATATGGTCATTGCAATATATTTATACGCGATCTTTAGTAGGGATCAAATTTCCCTTATGGGTATTCTTCTATAATTATTGTAATTACCCAATAATCCCAACATAAAATTCTGAATGGACGGTGGAGCAGTGTGTAGCATTGCTAACTACCACGCAGAGATCCCGGGTTCGATTCCTGGCCGGGTTCGCTCCAGTTTTTTTCAAGGTATATGGCTAATAAAAAGAGTATCGAAGGCATTTTTATAGGCTCTCAAAGATAAAGAAATAATGAAAGAAACATTAAGATAACAAGGACACAAAAGTGTGGGGCTAAGTAACATGAAAAAGGTACATACGATAAGTGCAATATGGAACGAAAAAAGAAAAAGCTCTCCCCCATGCACTATAAAAATGAAAATCAAACGATATTCAAAATTCTATTTCAGAGCACGTTTATAGAGTTCCTCAATTAGTTGTAATAATAGTGTAACGATTGATGGTTATTTAAAATTGTGTACACAAGCACATCTCATAGTAAACGGCGCCACACGTTGCAGAAATGTTGCGCGGTGAAAGTATGGCCAGTTTATGTTTACCATAAAAAATTCTATTTATTACTCGATGCGGCCCTTACGCAACCACGCTAACTTTCGATCGAAAAGATGTGAAATACCATTGCTTTGTCGTTAATTATCGATTATCGTTGCATTTAAAAATAATTATCTTGAAATTGTCGAGCGATTAAATTCTCCATCGATCCTCGTTTAAAACATTATTGACGAACGGACTTCATTTATTTATGGGTAAATCGAACGAACGCAAAAATATATAAAATATCAATAATAATGTACAGTGTACATTGTACACATTATACTGTTTAGAAGACAAGACTTGACTGTGCGTCGATAGCTCGTTTTCATTTATATTAATAAGTATTTGTTTGTTTCAGATTGATTGTCTTTCGGTGAAAAAATGGTATCGAGGCGGAAGATCCTGTCTCGATCGCGGGACAATCTCGTTGAATCACAGTACGAGGACCAGGACGAAGAGGACGTGTGGTACAATCTCGATAAACTTCACAAGGTGGGCGCTCGCAATTGTCACGATGTAAAAATCACGAGTAGAAACGTTTCTCTAATTGTACAATTCCACGTTCGATAACACATCGAATCGCCGATCGGCATTCTTTTGGCGGCACGCGAGCATTGTCGCTCCTTTGTTTAACAGAGCGCCGTCGACAACTGTTGACAAACAATCAGTCGTTCGGCAGATTTTGCTGGAGTCGGTCGTTCCTGGTCGTTCCTGGTCGTTCCGAACAAAGTCATTTTTAACTCTTTGCGGTACAGGAATTCAGGTCATAAAATAGACCCATATTGCACAGGAATTTTATTGCGTTTTAAATCAAACAAATTTGTTATATTTGTATTAATAAAGGTAAGCTGAAGGGTTAAAAATTACCTACACTATATTCAAATCACATTTATATATATAAATTTATATATAAAACTATAGTTTTAAGAATATTAAAACATAAATAATAAATAGAAATATGTTTTTTTGTATTATTCTCCAAGTTGCATGGTGGGATGACTAAAATCCCACCATACTTTTATCATTTGCAAACAAATTTAATCTTTAGTTTTTATTATAAAACACTTCACTTGTTTATATAGAACTAATTTTTATATAAATTAACTTATCTCTACGATTTTTCACATAAAACCAGGAAAGAAATATTATCGCAATAAACCTTCCGCTTACAACAATTGTTGAACTGGTATTAGCATGTTGAAAGTTGCAAACATAAGTGCATACATTTGTAACATTGGATGAATACATTACCAACTGCTTTATATAAATAAGACGAAATATAAACCTATACACATGCAGCTATTGCAAAATTTCGAGGTGGGATTAAAAGTGTCCTACCATCCATTACGGTCCATCAAAAAGGTGGGACACTTTCAATCCCACCGTGCCAAGCACCGTAATAAAGATTCGTGTTAATCCATATCCATCCTGAAATTCTCTCGCAATCATAATTACCTATTTTTACTATGTTTTTTTTTTCAGGATCACATTCAGGAAGTGTTGGACAAATGGAATCAAATAGACGACGAGATTTGGGCAAAAGTGATCGTTTTCGAGAGGAATCGAAGAGTGGCGAAAGCATACGCCAGGGCCCCTGTTCTCACCATTAATGGCTCCAACGATGGATTCGATGGATTCAGGTAAAACGAGCAAAATGATTTTCACCTCTGAAACTTCTATTAGGCGATGTTGAATTATATACATATAATTTGACAACAAAGATGAATCTAGTGTTGAGAGACACTGCCCTTTTTTCTGTAAGTTAGAGTCTGTTAGAGTATCGGACTGGCACCACCAGGTCTGAAGACCCTTGACTGTTTGTCATCGAAGGCTAGGATAATAATCAGAGCACAGGCAGAATTTTCTTTCTTTAAGTGGACGCTAGATTTCTCTTCCTCGTAGGCCTGAGTTTTCAGTTTAGTTCTCGTCCGTCCTTTGAACAGTAAACGTGTCCTTCCGAGCCCTTTTTATAAACGTAGAATTCAAACTTATTAAAAAGACTCATTTATTACACCCAGAATCCAATAGGCGAAACCATGTTCTTCGTTGTTTAATCGTTGCCGCCTCGCAAAATTCAGGATAGGTCTGTGCGGCTTCGAGAATCCGATGAGGGACGTGAAGACGGAGGAGGCTAAGAAACACATAAATCAAGGCGTGAAGATCAAGATGGACGAGCAAGGGAATATACTAATTAAAAGGCTGTGTAAAAATAACGTTTACATAAAGCCAACGAGTCAGGAAGACAACGCAATTGGAGCGGAAATCGCACGGAATTCTCAAGGAGCGTTGGAACACGAGAAGCCAGGGAAAGTAAGTGTTTTACAGCTCCGCTTCTGCTTATGCACTATTTTTTTGGATTTTACTTATGTCCCTCTAAGTCAACACTTTCCAAACAAGCAGGTGTGACTCCTAAAGAGGGAGAAGCAAATGAGTTTTAATAAAGAAAAATGGGAAATGAATTTGAAAAATATGGAAATGATTTAAGGTCCCCTTTCTATATTAATACATTTACCATCAAAGTTTAATAGTGGTAATCCTCTACCTGAAATATAATTCCAGAGAACGAAGCATCAGCAAACAATCTTACATTTACTGTTCTAACTTTCAGGTGTTCGATATGAACAAATTCCAAACGAATCTATCTCGAGAAACTCGAAGAGCCTACCCCGACAGAAGAAGACTTGAAATGCAATGTTTGAGCGCCATCGTTTTTGTCAGAACAGAGCCAGACCTTCTCCAGTGTCCCGTTTGGGTTCTTATCGTGAACGTCGTTGGTCTGGACATGTTGAAGTCCAAGTTACCACCAGGTACAGTTCTAAAACAATATCCTGCTTCATTTTAAAATTCAGTATTTAATTTTATCATTAATACGAGTTTCATTGAATGAAGTTTTAGCGCTGCAAAGGCCTGTGGACATCAAGAATCGTCCCAGGATACCGATTCCTGACGAGGATCCTTACAGTGTAGCAGGAGTTTCGTCTTCCATTGGAGTGTCCGAGACCTTCCATCAAGATAGAGAGACTCGAGATCAGATCTATGCTCAATCGACGAGCTGTAGACAAAGAAGAACTGAGAGACCACCGAAGCTACCACCAAGGGAGAATCTCTACGGCCACGATATACCCAAAGTGCTTACCTTATAGTTGCATTAGATATTTGAACCTTCTAGGGCCCTAGTTCTTTATAGTTTATATTGATCGAGTCTTTCAAATGTAAACTGTATCCTTAGAGTAAGACATCAGCGTGTCATTTGACTCCTGAAGAAGTTACTTGCAATGAGAAACTCATTTGCGAAAGCCTCGATTAGTATCAGCTATATTCTGCTAAACTCTGCAGAGGAAAAGACATTTGAAACTTAAAAGTAGAATAACATTTTCATGCTTCCATTCTAGCCCGATTATGACGACATAGAAGATGACTATGGCAGGAAACCCGTCATAATGAACGAAGAGAAGAGAAGAAACGATGACAAAAAGAAATACGGTAAATAAATAAATGCATAACCTTCTTTATTCATAACCGTCCTAACAGTAGGACTACGTACCTCCATCAATCGAATAATTAAAATGCCTGTAATGAGTCCCCTGTACGGATCAAGCAACCATTTTGTCTTGAATTTCTCTTCAATTTCTTCCCCAGACGATCCGTATTATTGCGGATTACGGGCTCGTGTTCCAAACTTCGTGAAGATGGCGAAGAACAGCAAGGTCTCGTCGCGAGGCTACGCGAAACCTCCCCAAGCGCCCACGTACGCAGCCACGGGATACGCCAGCAGCCAGTCTTCTCAAATTTACGGCCATTTACCAGGGAATCGACCCCCAATCATGTATCATGCGAGAAGCTTCGAAAGTGGACTCGGTACTGCATTTCGCTTTAGCTAAAATTGAACTAAGATCAAGAATCGATCATTAATTAACAGCTAATAGATGTTAACATTCGAATGGTCCCAGTGTTGTTACAGGAGTTTGTAATTGTTCGTCTAACAGCAGTCTGCAGTGGTAGGTAACAATGCAATTCTTCTATTGTTGGTTACAGACTCGGATGGTAGAAACGAGTCACCGTATAATCATATATACGGAAGGTTCCCGGTACCAACCAGAGGTGTACTTCCTCCTGCGCCTAGAGCAATGTACATCGGAGAATGGGATTAAGAAATAAACAAATAAAGAGAACCAATAAAGTTAACCAGAAGGAAGTTAGCGTATAAAAGAAACGAATAACAAAAGAAGGAAAAGAAGCTATGTCGTAAGGATGTAACTTCCTCTGACGATATGTAACAGTGGATTAGAAGATATAACGGAATTTAAAGAAGAAATAAAAGACACCCGTGCATCAGGAGGGGCAGAGGATGTGAAGCATCCTAGGATCGAAAGCAGAGACGAAGACTATGCGTAAGAAGGTAATAATTAAGAGCAGAGAGAGCTAAAACAGGAGAGCAGATGAAATAGAAAAAGGGAGAACTAATCTTCCGTTTGTACCTATAAACTGTATATTGTTAATGTACTACATAAAATACTCAAATTTTTATTGCAATAAAATTGTAGAACGATGCGTACTCTTATTTGTGAACCTCTTGAGGACTTTTCCTCGAATGAACTGCTTGGGGAAATTTTTAATGTAAATAAAAGATGTAATAATTTAATTCCTACTCTAGAAAGTCAGCAGGAAGATGAAGTTTGAGGAATATTGATATAAATAAAGAATATAAAGTTTCAGAGATGGTAGTGTGTTTTGGATCTTCGGGGAAAATATTATTTTGCAATATTTTTATTAAAATGAGTTTTAATTAGATACAGTATAAAAAAATGTTAAATTATTTGAACGACATAGATATGTATTTCTTTTTTTACAGTTTCCTTATAATTGTACAAATGTTAAAAATATGAAAATTATTATATTATAATACTATTAATATAATGCTATTATTAAGAAAGCGTTTTAACTATAACAATAAGAAGATATTTCGAAATAATTACAGAATTTGATTTTTGCCCCTTTCATTAAAAGTGATACGACAAATTTATTCCTTTAATTAATTTAAGAACGTTCGTTATTACGTTACGCAAATTTTTCTTTTATTCGTCTAACAATCCATTTACTACACTGTTAACTTTTTCTATAGGAATTTTCGATTTTAACAAATTTATCGCGTAATCTACAATTGCTTTTTCATTTGGTTTCAGAATCCTTACGATCTCATCTGACGTAGAAATCTTTGCTATCTCGACCCAGTATCCTTCGAGGTACTTTAATAATTCTTCCATTGTTTCTTCAGAATCCTCATCGTCTTCTTTCGTTGCTGAAAATGTTTATAGAATTTATGCAGAGAAACTGTATCGCGTTCAGCATGTTTCTCGAACTTCTATCTTTAAGAAACTAAAAAAAATTATTGTATAAAAATGATTCACCTGTGCTAATGCTGAAAATAATTTTTAGTATTGTCTCGTTTATGTCTACCGCAGAGTCTGCTCTCAAAAATCCTTTCCATCGGAAATCAAGAATCATTTCTGCACACCTGTGAGTACAGGAAGCTTTAATTTCATCTAAAGGAAAGAGATTCCATGGGTCACTAAAATTGGCTAAAATTCTTCGGGGAATTTCTATCGTCCGATCGAGATTGTCATCTTGCAAAATTTGTTGATGAATTTGATGCCCTTTCCGAAGATTAGAGAACAATTCTAACCAGTCCTCGAGATATTTCAACGTGGGAACAGAATAGGGGGCCTCGTCTTGCGGAAGAACTTCTTCAAATGATTCTAGCATTCCTACGAATTTTCATAAATTAAAAGAAACATAGAATAAATGTTTTCGCAGGAAATATGTTACAAATTCGTACCTGGAAGAAAACTAGATGCTTCAAAGAGTTCATCTAGTAGTGTTTTTCCAATTGGAAGATCAATTTCTGCGGTGGAACGTAGAAAACTTGTTGTTGCGATTAAAAGTTCCTCTGTAATGAACAATTTAATAATCAGTAACAAATTATTAGTTAGGAATACTTTATGGAATTGCTTTAAGTGCACAGTTTAAATACATCTATATCAATTAACGCACAATTGGAGTACTTACCATTTGTGGAACTTTTCAAGATAAAAGGAACTACTTCCTTTAAATAGGTGGAATTTCTCAAATTCACTCTCCACTTTGATTCAGGGTCAGTTTGGATATTCCAAAGTGCAGAACGTAAAAGTCGAAGAATTTGTACCAATGTGGCACTATCTTCGGAAAAAAGATGATGAAGGATCGTTTCAAGGAGTTCATCATTCGATCCCAATATTTCGAGTACTACTGGCTCGCACGTCATATTCCCGATTATTCCCAAAATTATTTCCTATAAATTATACAGAACCATTGAAAATGGCGAGCAAAATTTGTAGAAAATAATTTTAATACACAATCTTTAAAGATGATTTATACAAGAATATATAGAGAGAATATTGATAATATGTTTTTATTAATACACTCAAATTTAGGCAATTTTAAGACTTCAAAGATCTGATTAAGTCAGTTTTACATACAATGTAAAAAACTTAAATGAACAATACAGAAAGGTAAACATTTAAAGTAGGTTTCATGAAAGTAATGAGAAAGAAAATTATAAGGTCTAATTACAGATTATTTTTTTGTAGTAAGGATTCAATTTATTTTACGCTTGTAACTTTGTAAAACAATTGTAATTTAGCATTAGTTTTTATTTACACATTGAAGAGGGAATACAAAGGATCTTATGGAATTACAAAATCAAGGATAGTAAATATTAGAAGTATCGAAATCATGAAACTCAGGAAATACTTTGTGAACCTTTTATTGAATAAATAAAATACAGATTTGAGAGATGAACTAATGTAGAAACGAATCGTACCGTTAATCTTGGCTCTTCAGGAGTATTCAATGCGAATTCAGCAATTTTAAAGAAGTCATTATCCACGAGAAATTGGACAATGTCCTTTTCAGCAGTTATATCCCATAAAGTGCACAGGTCATTTTCTAGTTTTTCGGTCCAGCCATCTTCGTGTACCTTTAGAATATTGAATTCATTGTAAATAGTTCATTTGTGGATAATTTCAATTTAATTATAGAGAACTGTGTAAGAATTTGTATAAACTTAAAATGGGTCTATTCTAAAAGAAACAGAGGGTCTAATAGTTACCTTTGATATCGAAAGCAAAGTGTTAATTATCCATTTACCACTGTACAGTGTGTTTCCCACAGTATCTCCTTTTAACTTTTCAATTTCACTTTCCCCGACTTCCTGAGCTTCTAAAACTACATTGGGTTCCACTTTGTCGGTTTCAGTTTCCTGAACCTCACTCATATTTTTTTATTTACGTCAACACTACGTTCTCAAGATATTTCTTAGGAAATGTTACTAATTTTACGCAACAATATCTTAAGCTAATACCGATTTAAATTGAGCAGCAGAACATTTGCAGAAATAGTGTTTTAATGAATTATTCACTTGTTCGAACTTGGCACAGCTGATTATTGTAAGTATATCGTACTTGTATACAAAGATAACCTAACTTTATTTAAAACGTACTATTAATATGGCTATTTCTTTACATATTCACGTAGCTGAGTAAATTTTTGACAAACACAATTCCTTTACTCTAATTCATTGCATGTATATTTGAAATTTTATTATGTATATTTGAAATTAAATCAACGTATGTCTATTGCACAGTTTCTAGTGGCGCTATTTAGCGGAGATATAAGTGAACTATTTGGCTACAAACTTCAGCATTTCTCTAAGAGATGGCGCCACTAGTTATGTGGTTTAAGTCTGGGATTCTCTAATTTCTCTTTAATTTCCCTTCATTCCCTCGTACATTTCCCTTTAAATTCCCTTCATTTCCTTGCAAATTTCTCTTTAATTTCCCTTCATTTCTGTGACATTTCCTGGTACATTTCCCTTCATTTCCTTACACATTTCCCTTTAATTTCCGTCCATTTCTTGGTATACATCCCTTTAATTTTCCTTCATTTTCTTACACATTTCCCTTTACTTCCCCTTCATCTCCTGGCACATTTCCTCTTCAATTTCCTTCATTTGCTTACACATTTCCCTTTAATTTCCCTCCATTTCCTGGTATATTTCCCGTTAATTTCCTTCCATTTCCTAGTATATTTCCCTCTAATTTCCCTCCATTACCTTATATATTTCCCTTTAATTTCCCCCCCTTACGTTACACATTTCCCTTTAATTCCCTCCCATTTCTGTGATATTTCCCTATAATTTCGCCTCATACTGTGATATTTCCTGGTTTAACAATGTTGCAAATCGCTCATCTCAGAACTTCAACTTCAATCGTTTCCCCGATACTTTAACAATGTTGCAAACCCAACAATGTTGCAAATCGTTTCTCCCGATACTTCCACAATGTTGCAAATCCAACAATGTTGCAAATCGCATCTCCCGAAACTTCCACAATGTTGCA